TAGTCCTTTGTTACAACAGTGCAAGGACACTAACACACCAACCCATAGCCTTTATGATGGAGTTCAAGTTCCTGAGCTTTGCACACTGCCCCCTCTAGGTCAGACACTTCAGTAACTCTCCATCCCCAACACTCTGGTCAGACCAGACCACTTGCACTTGTTGGACTGGGTCATTCCTTTGCATACCCTTCTTTTTCCTTTTGGCTTAGCTAATGCTTACTTGTCTGGAAGACACAGCTCATGCAAAGCATCCTCTGGACAGCTTTCTCTGATCACTATGCTAGGATGAATGCCTGTGCCTTCTGTGTCCCCAAAGCCGAACAAATCGCATTTGTCACCCCTTATTATGATACTTGATCAACTTATCTGTCTCCCCCTATATTTATTCTACTCCCCCCACCAAAAAATGGATGCTTACTGATTTTGATGATGTTTCCTGCAGAATAGGACAGGTTTTTAAGGGACTTGTCATTATGGATGGAGGTAGAGGCGACACTTTTGAACGCTGTACTACTGGTTTGGCACCACAAGATGGAGCTAGGGGATGGATGGATGGGTTGATTTACTCAGTGATCCAAATTACTTTGGCATCGGAGAGTTGAGAACACCCCTAAAACAGAAAATGTCAGAATGCAAAAGTTGTTGTCCTGGTGACATAAGATCCCTCCCCACCCTGTCCTTTCTCCCTTCCGCCTCCGATTCCCATACATTTTCAAGCTTCAGGTCGGTGGTCAAGCACCACATCTACAAAAGACTAAGACAAACACGATTTACAAAAGTCACCTGTATTCCAGCCAAAATATCTTTAAAAAGAAATCCCTTCTAAAGGGCAGGGAGGAGACAAACTACGTAAGACACAATACATTTAAAATATGTATTGAAGTTACAAATCAAACTTCTCCATATGATTCCAAAGTACAAAACACAACATTAAAAGGCATTCAAACAGCTCTTTTATACATCACAGTGTTAGTGGCACAAAAATGTACTGACATTTCAAAAACACAAACCAAATTTGCTTTGATTTTGTTTTACCACCACTTGTCAAATACATAATGTCTACATGTGCATGACTCATTCATGCATATTTTTATACAAGATGAAAATACACTCATAGTAAAGTGAGCAAAGAAGAAAGGGCAGGCATGTGCACGTAGCTACCCCTCACTGAAGGCTCCTGGAATTGTGGAAGACAGGATTATACAACCAAAGGGAGGGTGGAGACCATGGGGTTTTCAACACCAAAACAGCATGCTCTCCTAGTTGTGATGCATTAGCAAATATATTTTAATACCGGCCCCTTTGTTCCAGTTGGTGTTTTTGGCAATACCAGTCATAATCCCTTCATTTTGTTTATTTTCATAAGGGCTCGGGTTAATTATAAGGAATAAACAAGCTTTGGTACTTTTTAAAGAGACCTTCATGAAGCTTTATACATGCAAAATGTTTTCCCTTGATGATTTCATTGTGATTTATATATATCTATATACACAGGTATATTCATTAATAAAGGAGAACTGAGACACAAAAAATCCACCCTGGTTCCTTTGAATCCCCTTTTTAAAGATTACAAAGGGAACATTTTCTCTTCTCTCATTTGTTAAATAATATCTAACTTTTATAAGTGAAAATGATAAACTCATCTTGAAGTAATTTTTGCATCTCTGATAATCCCTCTCCCAAGGGCCCTGTGTTCTAATCAGAAATCGACATGGGCCCCAAACTGGTTTGATGGGATAATATGCTGTAAAGAGAAGTTGTTCCCCTTTATGAAGATGCCACAGGTGGCAGATCTTGGTTCTGTTGTCCACAGCAACTTCTGTGAGTTGAGGAGAAAGGACAGATTTGGACAATATTCATGCAACCAAATATTTTGTTTATGCTCAGACCCTAACTCGGTCTCTGCTCCATGAACATCTATAGTGACTGCATCTCTACAATGCAGTGACCTTGTGTGAGGGTGCCAAGCTCACTTGGCTGGGCTTCAGGCTGCACAGCAGAGCCAGACTGAGAGGCCAGGCATGTCCAGCAAACCCTAACATGGTCAGTTACCAAAGGGCCTTGGAAAACTTGGTCACTGGTGTCCTCAATGCCCACCCCACCTGGACAGAAGTACAGCAGCCATACCATGGCTGTCTCTAAGGACCTCCCCCCTACTGCCCAGGATTTAAAGGCCTCTAAACAAATAAATGTGCTCCCAGAGCATCAGAGTGGAAACCGCCTGTTAAAAGTGAACATCATTTTTCAGCTGAGACAAATTATGGGAAATAACAGGAATGGTTCCATCCATTAAATGTAGAACTCCCCAAGTTTTAATGGGAAGTGACAGCCAAGACAAAAGTTCAAATCAAGGGCCACCTTCCTGTGCTGTATTTACATTTTACATCAAGCAGGGTTAGTATTGCAACACCTTAAAAGATAGGTATGGCATTCCTTACTAAAGGAGTCTGATGGTAGGAAATGCAAGTTCATGTATCTCAGCTGGATCTTGCTGGTATTTCTATAGAGAATGGACGATTTAAATTTTATTACTACATTAACTGAGGCATGCTTGATACAAAAACTCAGAACAGGTAGCTACCAATTTGACTGACCTTGTCTGGCCCTAGGATCTCTGTGGTGTCTACGTGGGTCAAACCACGTGCTTGTGAAACACATTGGAGGTGAAGGCACAAGGATGGCTGGGGCTACAGATGCGCATGACTGGGCCAGAGACGACTCCAGGTAAAAGGACAGCCCGTCTCCTAGGAATAGGGTGAAACAAGCTCCAGTCCTGGGGATGCAACCTTTCCAAAGGCTCTAACTCCCGCCCCAAGGGAAGGGGTACTACTGAGCAGGCTCATGCAATGGGCAGCAGCTACTACAGGCAGGAAGTGCTGGGATATGATGGAGTCCTGCTCTGTGGACCACTGGACACCAGGCCCCGGGCTTGCCATCAGAGGCAGACATTTTTAAAACACAGGCTAGACAGCTGCATCCGTAAATCCCAGGCCGAGGGCTCAAGCCAGGGCCACTGACTCTGAGTTTTCCTCTCTTTCCCGAAAAGCCATCCTGCTGCTGGATGCCAAGGCAGCACTGCAAAATGCAGAGATTCACAGCCCAGGATTCATCAGGAAAGACAGTCCCAGGCATGTTCTTATTTAGTTACCAGGAACTTTTAAACTGCAATTACAAGCAAGGATAATTTTCTGAACATAATTTTGACACCAAGTGATTTTTTAAATGGCTTCAGTTTCATAAAGAAAACCAATTCTAGAATTGAAGAGTGAGGTGATGCTGTTTTTTCTAACCTGTTCAATGATGAGAAATAATACTAATAAAAAAACTTGCTATACAGCAGGGAAGGTAAACTAGGACCTGAGACTGATACACAAATGTAGAAATCAAATATACACAAAACAACGATGTTTTAAAAATGTGCTTGCCAATTCACAATTGCAAAGATGTGGAATCAACCTACATGCCCATCAACCAATCAGTGGATACAGAAAATGTGGTATCTATACACTATAGAATACAATTCAGTCATTAAAAACAATGAAATCATGTCTCTTGCAGCAACTTGGATGGAATTAGAGAACATCGTCCTAAGTGAACTAACTCAGGAACAGAAAATTGAATACCACATGTTCTCACTTATAAGTGGAAGCTAAACTAAGGATATGCAAAGACATAGAGAATGGTATAATGGACACTGGAGACTCAGAAGGGGGAAGGAGGGAAAAGTGGAGGGACAAAAATGTCACACTGGCTACAATGTGTTCAGGTGGGGGTGGTGGGTATACTTACAGTCCAGACCAAAACTATTTGTAGTCCCCAAACCTACTAAAATAAAATTAAAAATAAAGATAGACTTGCAATGAACAAATAACTGAGATAATTTTTTTTAATTTACTTCTTTGTAGAATGCTTAATACCTTTTTTTTTTTTTAAATTCTACTATACTAAATCGACAAGTCTGGGTATAGTGGTTCATACCTGCAATCCCAGCACTTTTAGAGGCTGAGGCAGAAGGACCACTTGAGCCCAGGAGTTTGAGACCAGCCTAGACAACATAGTGAGACCTTGTCTCCATAAAAAAAAAAAAATAATTAAAAATTAGCCAGGTTTGATTATGCATGCCTGTAGTCCTAGCTACTCGGGAGGCTGAGACAAAAGGGTCACCCAGGCCCAGGAGGTTGTGGCTGTGGTGAGCTGTGATTATGCCACTGCACTCCAGTCTGGGAGACAGAGTGAGACCCTAACTCAAAATAAAAAAAAAACAAAAAAACAGTAACATTTGCCTCTCTGTTACTTTTAGAGTTCTAAGTTCAATGTACTTTGCTCTTTAAAAGCACCTGTGGCTTTAAAAGTCAATTCTCTTTAAAGAAAATACTTTCTCCACTTTTCAAAGTCAACTGATAACATGTCTTTTTATTGATCCAAGCATTTGCTGTTATGGAAACAGTCACACACAGCCCTGTAAAAGACCATGTGATAAAATCTGTACATCAAAATAACTAAAAGAAATGGAAGGGATTTTGCTATTTTTCTCCAGCAAGGGCAGAATGGTTAGCAACAGGATGTGGAACTATGTAAGATATTTGATTTTTCAAAATAACAAAAGCATTAAAAAATGTGAAAATCCAGGAAGCTTCTCCACAGGACCTGGAAGCCTTCCAGTCTCTGCCAGGAGTCCCTGCTTCTGAGTATGGGTAATGCTGCTTTCTTCTTACTGTCTACTTGAAGACTGGGTAAGAGGTGAAACTATCGTGATTCCAGGTAGAGCTATTTCCAAGTAAAACAGTTGGTATGAAGACAATTAAAAAAATTATTTGCTGCTACCTGGGTGAGAAGGGATGAGTCTTATGAGCTGAACTGAATCACCAAAGAGAGAGAGAGAGAGAGAGAGAGAGAGACAGAGAGAGAGAGAGAGACAGAGACAGAGAGAGAGAAAGAGAGAGAGAGAGAGAGAGAGAGAGAGAGAGAGAGAGTGAAAGGCAAATCTAATGGAGATGAGATGTTTGTTTAAGCATATCAATATTTTCAAAGAATTGCAACGATACAGGAACCGTGGTTATAACAGTACATAGCTTACAGCATTCAAAAAGTTATTACAGCAAGTTTTAAGAAAAACACAAAGAGTGCATAAGGCTTTCTAAATCTCCTGAAAAGTCATTTAACTATAACTTCTTAAAATGCACATTTCAAGAAAGGCATAGGATGGTTTATATGCACCTTGTTGATTTTCACGACTCAGTTGGAAAAAAAAAATGCCTTCTAAAAAGGATTTTACTAAATACCATTAGTAATAAAAAACAGTTGTCACAAACAGAGTGCTTTTCTCAAGTTGGAATAATCAAATTCTGTCTGAAGAGAGTCGTAATCCTTAAAAGATTTCTCTCAACAACACGGTGCCATTTTGAAGCCAAGGAGGAGACGACGTTCTGCATGAGAAAGTCTCTTAAGACACTGCCAGACATTCCAAGTCTGTGGTCACAGAGAGAAAACTGCCTGGTGTGCTCCTTGCAGCAACCCCCTGTCATCTACAGAGGCTGATCTGTGGGGATGTGCCCTGCCCATGCCTGCCTCGCCTTCCCCATGCCTAGGGGACTGCACCTGGGGCCTTGGCAAACATTGTGACATCAGTCCCTGAAATCACGGCGTCCAGCCTGACACTGTGAAGCTTGATGGGGCACATAAGGCAAGAAAGATGTTGAGTGAGAGGGGGCGGCAGAGTGGGGTGGGGGAGAGCCACGCTTCCTGGAGGCAGGTATCTTGTTCCAGCATCGTGTCTTCCTCTAGGTGGGTAACGGGTCATCATCACCCTTACTGCATTTGCACTTGCAGCAAAGTACAAAAGGAGTGGCCAAGAGCAGGAAAGGTGAGGCTACCAAGAGCAGGAGCCCAAATCCAGCGAAAATGCCCACGACCTAGAAGAAGGAAACAAAGGAGCAGAGGTAAGGAGGGCTGGTTTGTGGCTTCCATTGCTGAAGTGTAAACAATACAACCATGGACCCATCCGTCATTTATCTACCCAACCATCCACTCCTTAATCCACCTTTTCATCCATCCACCCACTCATCTATCAATCCGTCCATCTATCTATCTAACCATCACCCAATCATCCATTAATCTAACCATCATTCATCCATCTTCACCCACCCACCAATTCACTCATCCATCCATCCATTCATGCATCCATCCATCCATCCACCTTTTCATTCATTTAACCATTCATCCACCTACCCATCAATCCATTCGTCTAACCATCATCTAACCATCTACTCGTCTAACCATTATTTATCTAATCATCCACCCACCTATTCACCCATCCACTCTTCCATCTGTCCACTCATCTAATCATCATCCACCCATCTAACCATTATCCATCTGTCCATCCAACTCATCCATCCATCATCCATCCACCCATTTACCCACCCATCCATCTATCCATATTTTCTTCTCTTCATTTTCCCTTCCCCTCCCTTCCCTTTTTTCCACCTAAGCACCCAACATCCATACATTTAGATATCCAAGTAACTAACACGCTTCCTGTTGATAACCACCCTGAGCCAGACACTGGATTCAATGCCTCAAATACAGAGGCACATACTATCTCAGCCCTCAAGGAACGCCCTGTCTGGTGAGAAGAGATCAAGACTTAACTAACAAATAACAATACTTTATGACTCCTGTCCTTCTTGGAGTTTACAGCCCAACAAAGACTGTTAAGCACTTAAAAAAAAAACAAATCACGTTTATCCCTAGGTAGGAGCAAATGCCAAAATAAATAAGCTTCAAGTGTAGACATGTTGTCATCTAAGGCAGTGTGGCTATTCAAAGGAGCATGGAGTTTACTTTTTGACTAGCCTCTTAACAGCTGCATCCATCCCTCCCAAGCACTGCAGAGTGAACCAAAATCTGAAGACAGGGCTAGACAGCCACCTAGTGTTCAGAGTGACAAGTACATGCATGCACTCAGCAAGAGGTTTCTACATGGGTTTTTCCCAACTATTATAAGATAAACAAATGAGGTAAAATAACTCTAAGGGCCATTATTAACTCTAAAATATGATACTATACTAAAGGATCTCATATGTGTGAATGAAAGTATACTCTGACTTAAACTTCTTGAAAGCCAACACATACATGCATACATTTATAGACAAGATTGCATTTAATAAATTATGTCACATTTCATGTCTAAATGAAATTGTACTAATGCTTACAAGCGATGCTCGCTGCCCAGTTGGCTAAGTTCATTTGTCTAAACCTTATATACAAAGGTGGAATTACTCAGTGTGAATTCAGATCATGCTTTGTTAAAATCATGTACATGCTGACATTTCAGAATACATAAAACACTCAATAAGGTCTTGATTATTTGGAGGGCAATCTTGAGAAATCCAAGCTATCTCTCTACCCTGTGTGACAAGGAACACAACTGTCAGTCTCAAAAGAGCCAGAGATTCTTTGCAGTCAAAAACATGCCCAAGTCTTTGAACAAATGCTCACGTACTTGGTCAATAAGACACCATCCTAGCTTTTCACAAAGTTCACCTTGTCTGTAAGTTTGCATGCTCTTTGATATGTTGGGTTAACCAGTCAATCGCCAATTGGTGTTAGGCGAATGAAGAAACTGCTGGAGAAAGACAGCCAGTAGTAAAGAATGAGACAGGAAGCGAATGTCATAAGACAGAACCACTCAATGTGCATGCTGTGGATGTGTATCAGGCACTAGATTGCAGAATGCAGTGGACTGAGAGATGGGTAAACAGTTTCAGCCCTGGAGACAATCACTGTACAGCACAAACCCTGAGATTTAAAGGAACAGTTCACCCCCACCCTGGGTTTCTTAAACTGATGACTATTTGAAAGTCTCCGTGTACATCCCAGCATCTCTCTCATAATAAATGTCTAATACATGCTTATGGCATGAACCAGCTGAATAGAAACAATGTTCTGAATAGTATCCCCTGAAGCGTTCTTCCATTAATATAAACCACATTCAAGGACTTGGAAAAACTAAGCCAAAATCAAAGGTACCACTAATTCACTGAAACTTGGCATTTGAACTTGCACAAATAAGCACAGAATCATGAAATAACGTTTGATCCCTGGATTATCATCTAATCCAATTTTCCCATTTCACAGATACAAAATCTATGCCCAAAGAAGCTATTCCAGAGGTCTCAATATCTGTTTAAGACATATAGAGCTCGGCATCCTGTTGCAAATACAAGATGCACCTTGTGCATATTTCACTGAGTTCAGTGAAAAATACCCTTTAGAACAGTTGCTACACAGGGCTTCCTGAACATGAGCATTTCTGGAAGGAATGCCAGCCCTTCTGCTCATTGTGGGAGGACGTAACTGTGTTTCTCTCCATGGATGTGTAAGTGTTAGTGCCAGAGGGCCTCGGCCGCACTACGTCTATCTGTCCTCGTGTGCACTTCCTGCAAACATGGTAGCTGTGACATGTGTGCCTGTGTGTAAATACTGAAAATCAGTCATTCGCTGGCTATAGTAAATGCCATCCTTTGTCTACAAATGAGCTCTGCTCTTTATCCGAGGTGGACGTGGGACTAAAAAAAAAGTTTCTTTTCACTGCTCAGAAGAAAAGCCAGTGCTGGATACGATTTTCCTTTGTTAGACGCTAGCGTGCTAAGGAAGTCTGTTCTTGTGAAAAGAAAATGTCTCTTTAGCTTCTCCGCACAATGACTGATTTCTAGGCTGGTGCTAGAAAAAAGACAGGCACACATGTCACAGTAACTGTGTTTACAGGAAGTGCACACGAGGACAGATAGATGTAGTGCGGCCGAGGCCCTCTGGCACTAACACTTACTCCCAGTAACTGGGCAGTTGGTATCACATGAGACATCTGTCCATGCCCCACGGTCCCAAGTCCCAGCCACCCTGTTAATTCTCATTCCTATTTGTTTCAGCAGGAGACCCTGCTATATGGAATACAAAATATATCACTCAGGATGAAGCAAACTGTACAAAGCCTTTACCCCAAAAAGACAGTTTTTCATTCACAGCATGCTACCTTGTTACAAAGGTTTTAGAAAGGGCCCTAGGGAAGATGTGCATGGCATATAAGACCTTTACTCTCATAAAAATAGCATAAGTCACCTGCAGTTATCTCAAGGAGGCACGCTGAAATTCCTAAAAAGGTAAGAACAATCTGGAAGGAACGTCAGCCCTTCTGCTCATTGTGGGAGGACGTAACTGTGTTTCTCTCCATGGATGTGTGTAAATACTGAAAATCAGTCATTCGCTGGCTATAGTAAATGCCATCCTTTGTCTATAAATGAGCTCTGCTCTTTATCTGAGGTGGACCTGGGACTAAGAAAAAAAAAAAAAAAAAAACTTCAGGCAGTGAGAACCTGAAGTTCACATTGGAAGCCAGAAGAGTTAGGGAGCTGTAGGGACTCTGTAAAATCAGCAAATGATACCATCGGACTACAAGCCCCGAAGCTGGGAATCACAGCACACTGCATTTCATCTGTGTTTTTGATAGAAGTCGAGGGTTGAGTAGAGCAAGGCCCCGAGTGAAAGAGAAGTGTTTCCCCAGGGAGCCGAGGGAACCAAACTCAGGCAGGAAGTCCTAAACCGCAGCAGAAGTAGTGACAGAGGGCAGCCACCCGACCCATTCCTGGAATGGCAAAACGACTTGGAGGGTCAAGACTAGGACTTCAGTAAATAGAACAGGACAGAAAATACGTAAGCATAGAGTAGGTTTTATATACACAGCTAGGTGGGTGTGTGCACAGGGTACATGTGTATGGGTCACCATCAAATACAATTCAGAAGCCGTTGTTCAGTGCCTGCTATGGCCCAGGCAGGTTAGAGAATCTCTCAGCCTGAATTATCAACAAGAAACACTTCTTCGCTTCTAATACTTCGCTTCTACTATCTCACCCTGCCTTGCAATCGTAGGAGCTCCCTCAGGGCCTGGGTTCCATTCAAAGTGTGGGTTTCCTGTGGGAGCAGGTCAGTGCAGTAGCAGCCTGGAGGAAGGATGGTGGAGAGGGCAGTGAGAACCTGAAAACTAGGAAGGGGACGACAGAAGCTGTCTCTTTAAATGGACTCATGGCAAGAAGAGTCCAGATGCAGCTGGGAGCTCCTGAGGAGGGTGGGCGTCCCCTCACAACACTGCTAGTTCCTACTTGTTGAACCTTGTCACATGCATTGCTGCTTTGCTTCCCCAAACACTCCTGCTCCAGGTCTGACTGCACTTACATGAACCGGAACTTTTTCTGCTTCCCCTAGGCAGGAAAACAAGTAACACTGCTTCTCTAAGGACACCCAACTGTCCTTTCTTTCAACGAGGGCACATGAGCTTTGTTGCCATCCACTGCCATTGTCCTTTCCCCAGGCGCAGAACAAGGCACCTGTCAAAGGCTCCCAGGAAAACATGACTCCGCCCAAGGACACACAACACTTTGCTTCCTGCCCTGACCCTTTGGAATTCCGCAGGTGTAGAAAGCAGCAGAAGGAACAAGGATCACAGGCTCTGTGAGGGAAGGCAGCATGCTAGCAACGTCTGAGGCAAAACTGGTCATTGGCCATTATACCCAAGTACCACTTCTGAAGCCCCTATGTCCCAGACATAGGATCAGGGCCGTGGAGAAGACCAAGATGAGCAAAATAGACCCCTGCACTCCAGAATACTTTGTGTATTGTAAGAACCAAAATGCAGATTAGCAACAGAGTATAGCCTGAGCAGGGGTGGGGCACACAGATGAGAGGGCGCCTTCTTGGACCACACACAGGAAAGACTTCATGGAGGACACTGCACTTGAATTGCATCATGCACGGGACTAGAATTCAGATGTGCAGAGAGCTGAGTAGGAACAGGAGAAGCAGAGGAAGACAGTGACGAAGACCAGCATGGCAGCAGCAGCTGGGGCAATGCAGAGAGAAGTGTGGAGCTGCAGCTTGAGGGGAAAGGCTAGGGTGAGCCAGAAGAGAAAGGGAAGATTCAGCCAGGACCACATTCTGGCCATCCCAGGGCCCCAGAGTACTGGACCACTGACACCTCCAGAGCACCCTGATGTGGAGGTGCTGAGGCCCTGGTCCACTACCTGGTGAGTGAGTGAGTGAGTCAGTGAGTGAGAATGCGGGCGGGCGTGCAGGGACCTTCCATCAGCCTTGGAGCTGCACAAGCTGATGCCACATGGGGCAAGCGAGCTGCCTCTGCTGAGCCCTGCCCACACCTCAGATCCCAAAGCAAAACAAACATAAAGATGTTGAGCCCATGTATTAGGGGAGGCTTATCACCCAGCAATAGACAGCCAAGGTTCCTGGGTAAAGTCACTTACTCTTGCCTGGAACTCAATTTCCTTACATGCAAAATGCCAGAGTTGGACAAGGGTTTCCAAGTTCTCACCCAGCTCTGACTCTGCTTCTGCCGAGATGCACATAAGAGTGTCTACTCACACAGCAGCTGTAATGACGCAGGACACCCGGGTCAATGCCCAGTCACCCATATCCCCACCCTAGAGACAGCCACAGGAAAACAAGCACAGCAGAGGAACGCGTTTCTACTCCGTGGGGATGGAGATGTCGGTGTTGCTATGGGTTGAATCACGTTCCCCTAAAATGGCCTGCTGAAATTCAGCCCCTCAGAATGTGACCTTGTTTGGACACGGGGTCTTTGGTGTTAGGAGCCGGCCGTGGAGGCCCGCCTGAGCTTTAGGGATCCAGGCAGGCTGTGGACCCTGAGACGACTAGGATGAGTTCAGGAGCTGATGGCCCATTTCCTCTTCCCTTTTTTGCTGTTTGGCATGTCTCACTAGCAGGGACTTTGATGATCTAAGCTTGAAACTTCGAGAGTACGACAGGCATGGTTAACTCTAGGGATCCATTGTTCCCGTTTCTCACAGACTATGGTTTTGGCCTATCAATCAATTACGGTTTAAAGTCGGGTCACATTTAGGAGCCTTATATATGATACAAGTTTCTTTATAAGATTTAAAAGTATATTTGTAGAATTAGTATATACATATGGAGAGCTGCTTTCAGCTTTAGATGGTATAGATGATTATCTACAGATACTAGAAATGGCCCAGCACAAAGTCTGGGCTGGGCCACATTCCTAAGGGCCCAGCGCATACTTTGGACTGGGCTGCATTCTTTTAAACCGGTTTTAGCTACAGTTAGTGTAGGGTTTTTCTACTTATTATAGAAATGAATTTATTTTATTCATAGAAAGTATTGTAGAATAGGTTATGCTACATCAGTGAATTATGCTAGTTCAAACATGATCAAACATGATATTTTGAGGTTTAATAAGAATACAGCTAAATTGAGAAATTTCATTGTTCCCATTTTCTACTATTGTGGTTTTGACCTTAGTACAATTTACAGTTTATATTTGGGTTTTATTTTTAGCAGATTTATTGCTAATAATCAGCTGTATATATTAGAAATAGGAATTAGAAACTTTTATAGAAATTAAGATAGATATATAGGATTTTAGAATAGCCATTTTGTTAAGAGATTGTAATCAATTGTTCCTAGAAACGACCAGTGTGATCTTTTGACTGGGCCACATTCTTTAGGAACTGGTTTGGGCTAGAATTAAGAGTCTCTATAGTATAGAATTAGCGTAGAATAGAAAGGAATTAGGATTTAAGTTAGTCATTAGGTATTGTGTATGCATAAGTTTTTAAAGTTACTGATTATTAGAATATTATGATGTTAGAATTGTTGTATTGCTTTTGAGGAACATTAACCAAGCTTGAGAAGCAGTGAGATAATTTTGGACGTCCTTCCTCATGCTTGAGGAAACACCTGGTGGATAGGGGACGCTCCTCACCCAACTGGCTTTGTGTTCATGTAAAAGTCTTGTGGTTTAACTAGGATTGCCCTTCCTCATACTTGAGGAAATGCCTGGTGGGTGGAGAATGCCCCTCATCCACCTGGCTTTGTGTTTATATAAAAGTTTTTTGATTGTCCTTCCTCATGTCTGAGGAAACACCTGGTGGGTGGGGGACGCCCCTCACCCACCTGGCTTTATGTTCACGTGAAAGTCTTGTGATTTAACCTGTGAAAATTTGGGATAAAAGGCTTACTGTTTGTCCCATTAAACGGCTTCTGCACTAGACAGAGTCCAGTCTCTTTCTACCCACACCCCCCGTCTCTTTCTCCAAAATCGCTGACGCCATCACACCTCCCAGAGACCCCCTAAATCTCTCTGCAGGGGCTGGCCCCCCCACACTTTGGAGATGTAATCAAGTTAAAATGAGGTTATTAGAGTGGGCTTTAATCCAGTGTGATTAGTGTTCTTATACAAAGGGGAAATTTGGACACAGAGGCACATGCATAGAGGGCAGAGGATGTGAAAGTATATAGGGAAGAGTCAGCTGCATGCATACATAAAGACAGAGGACTAAAGGTATACACCTGTAAGCCAAGGAACACCAAAGATTGCTGGCAAATTCCAGAAGCTGGAAGAGACAAGGAAGGACTCCCGAACAGGTCTCAGAGAGGTCACGACCCTGCTGACATCTTGATTTCTAACTTCAGACCTCCAGGACAATACATTTCTGTTGTTCTGAGCCACCCAGTTTGTAGCACTTTGTTACAGCAGCACAAGCAGACTCATACAGATGTGGAAAGGGTAAGGACTGAGGCATGCATTCCCACGCAGAGGGAGAAATGTCAGTGCACCTAAAATCAACTCTCTAGACCAGAGGACAGCACATTATAGCCTACAGTCTGTTCTGTTTTCTTATACAGCTTTATATCAATATAATTTATATCAATAAATTTATTTATATCAATAATTTTTATATCAATACAATTAATTGATATAATTCTTATACCATACAACTCACCCATTTAAAGTGCAAACATTCAGTATCTTTCAGCGTATTCACCAAGTTATGCAAATAACACCACAAATGATTCTCCACCTGCTTCGGTAAACAGTTTCACTGGAACACAGCCTCAGTGATTCACTGACTTACTGAGGATGGCTGCTTTTGTTGCTACCAAGAGGTGTTGACAGTTGCAGCAGAGACCTATGACCAATGAGGCCAAAAATGTTTTCCATCATCTTGCCCTTTAGAGAAAGTGTTTGTCACTCCCTGCTGTGGACACTCAAGAGCTTTGCCATACAGTCTGCATGGAAGACTGCCAAGGAAATGCAGTTGTAGATCTTTTCCTATTCCTGGGCAACTGCCTTGAGATCAGGTTTCTCTGTCTTTAAAATGGGGATGACACACCTACCTTAGAGGCCCCTATGAGAAAGGCTGTGAATGAATCACAAACTTGGGTCCATCAAACCCCTTCCACAAGCAACCAGGGAGTGCTGGCAGACTGAAATCTCCCAACTAATCCCTCAGTGACTTCCCACTTCACCCAGAACAAGACCCAGAAGAGTCCTCCTGCGGCCTGCCAAACCCTGCAGGATCTGTCCCTGCCACCATCTCTGACCATTTGCCCTCACTCCTTGTTCTATCCTGTCCAAAAGGACTCTCATCCACAGTTCAATCCCACTACCCGTCCCCGTCCCTCTAGTCTGCTCCACACAGATAGTCAGGGCCCTGCCACTCAGTGCTCAGCCATGGACACTACCTCCAATCAATCTCAAGGACCCCTTCACCATCCGATTGCCTCTGTTCCTGATTTACATTCTGCACATGCGTGCTGTCCCTAAAGAGAATGTAGGTTCCCTAAGAGAAGGACACTATCTGTCTTATAAACCACTGTGTCTCCAGCTCCTGGAACAGTGCTTGGCACACAGTATGTGATATGTGTGTGTTGAAAGTACAAATACATATTAACTAACACAAGGATCCATTATAAACTCCAAAGGCTGCACAGACATTACTCTGTAGAGGCCTTTCCATTCCTTCCCTGTTATCCTTTCCTGTTACTACCTTGCTTACCTCAGGGCCTCGAGAGAAAGCTGTCCATTAAGGGCTATGCAAGGATTACCTAAGCATAGTCAGCAATCATTATCAAGGTCATGAGCAATGGCAAGTGACCCACAATCTGATATTAAAGACTCCTCATCTGTTGACTGTGATGCATATTTACTCTAGTGCTGGGCCAGTGCTGTCGTAAGCATAACCTTACCCCAGTAAAAAGCCAGACAAAGCACATCCACTAGCTCTGTATTTCTACAGAGCAGATCTTCAACCAATGGACAAGTTTCCTGGAAAACACACACACACACACACACACATACTCATATTCTCTCTCTCTCTCTCTCTTCCTGGGATCAAAGTTCCAGGTAAGTCACCCCCTACCTGTGTCCGATGCCAGATCACAGATGCCCGGGAGTGGCCCAGCTTGTTCCGGCAGGGTCCCTTATCATAGTGTATCAGGAGGAAATCGTCCTGTGAAGTGAAGAGAGAGCTGGAGTGAGCAAGGGATCCTTGCTTGCACTACATCTCTTCCTCTACATTCACAATGAGTAGAGACCTGAGAGAGGTGACAACAGAGGACGGACATGGGCCTGTGCACACCTGGCCACTGCCACTCCAGGCGAGGAGTCCAGCTCCATATTCATCTCCACAGATCAGCCCAGAAGTGACAGCACAGCCTTGGGCACTAGAGGGAGCCTTGGACCGGATTTCAGTCTCAGTCCGAAAAAGGGCCTCCCTGGCACCATGGCCTTGTCTTGAGCTTGTGGGACAGAACCGATCTATGCTGACACAGGGCTAAAAACAAGTAGGTCAGACTCTGACTCCAAAAGCTTCCCCCGGCATTGGCTGTGTCTGATTCTGCTGGAGTCCTGCATTTGCATCTTCCTATCTCGGTGACCAAATTATTTCTGAGATTAAGTGATTTCCTTTATTGCTGGTCCATCTTCTTTCACCAGTGCCAGACTTCTCACCAGAAAGTGCTCCCTCTCAGATCAGTACAATTTTTCTCTCTATTCAAGAACTAGCTAGGAACTATCTTCTATCTGCAACTTCCCTGAAGTCCAGAGTGAGGAGTCTCTCTCTTCCGGCACTTATAGGAACAGCTGTGAGTGTGAATGCCTCCCCTGGGTGTTCTCGCACCCCATCTTGATCCCCACCTTCACGGGACAATCAGCAGACTGTCAGGTCCTGGATCCTCATATATGTCCGTCTCTTTGTGCTCTCCAGCTCAGCGCTTGGCACCCAGATCTCACTGAACACCCACTAGGTATGAGGGGAATGGTATTTCTATATCAAACTCTTGGCTCCCCCATGGACAGGGCGTGCCTTTTTCTATCCTATTGCCAAAACAGGAAACAGCTGGCAAAATGGTACCAAGGAGCGGCAATGGTTGGTTTATACATTTAACTGAGGCTGTAAACAAATAGCCTCTTCTTGAGAAAAGAGTAAATAACACAGGGCCCAATGTGTCTGAGAGAACAGGAAGTCACTCTTCTAAAAACCAGAAAGAGCTGGAAGTGAGTTGCTGTCTTCTGCTCCATCAAATCAATGATGCTAGAACAGTCTGGGCGGATGTAGCCAGCTGGCCTTCCTCTCATCCTGAGAAGGGCACCAGCCTCAGGGTTGCTGATTTTGGAGGTCAAACCTTCTGGTATCTGAATGCATAGTGGCATATTACTAAATCCTGGCCTTGAACAGCATAGCAGAGAGGCCTTGGCTGAGGGTTGGAGTCCTAGCTGCTGCTGTGCACCTGACCTCTTGGGACTAGACCGTCATCTGGGAAAGGAAGGGTAGGAGCAGACGAATGCAAAGTCTCTTCTGGCCACACATTTGTCTTCCAGGAAGCTACTTCTCACCACTTCTGTCGACTGTGAGCTCTCTCCTCCTTAAACTCTTAATTATATTTTCCTTTACACTGATATTAATTTACGCATACCTCCGAGATGAGTTCATTCATCTGTATGTCTCATTTTCCCAGACTACTTATCACAATGTCTTACACTGTATCCTCTTTAAAAAGTTTCTGAAACACAAACCAAATCACATGTGCTACCAAGTTTAGAATAGTTATTGGTCTCTAATAACCGATATGGACACACCTGGTTGCACATTAGAGTCCTTGGGTAGCTTATGGGAAATGAGAACTCCTGGGCTTCACCCCCCCAGATACTGACCCATAGGTCTAGGATAGAGTCCAGTCCCCAAACTCCCTCAGTGGTTCTGATCCAACCCATCCTTGGGAAGCACAGGCCCTGTGCCAGGGGCAAGGCTCCTTAACTTGGCGCATAGAGGCCTTCGTCAGGGCCCTGACTCATCTTTCTAGCATCTCTGGCCAGGATCAGGCCATGTATAATTTCACGAACACCTGCATCACATCCAGTTCTGAGGTAGCTGCCTGGCTCAGCACATTCTGTTCTCTTTGCCTCGTAGCTTTCAAGTCCTCAGCTACCCTCAGGCCCCCAGACTCAGTGACTTGCTGTCTTCTCCTGAGGCTGCCCAGGGCTTTACTCCCATTGCCACAGAGTTCACTTCATTCTTGTGTCGACATCACATGCCTTGGGGTTTCTTGCCAGGGAGATGACAAGCTCCTCAAGGTCAAAGGACTTCACCCCCAGCCCTCATCTTAGCAACCCCATCACCCACCCAGAGTGGAGCTGCCAACACTTGGGCAGGTTCGTGAACAAAGTGAATGTTTACCTAAAATGCACCTTTCTTATTCCCTGGAAAAAGGACTCTAACATGGATTTACAATATATACATAGCTTAATTGTGATTTTAAGTTTACTGATGAAGCCCTTGGGCATAACAATACCAGGAGCATTTTTGTGACAGGGAACATTTCCCTACCATTGTTCAGAGAGGTTTCATTAAAATCCTCCATGGGAACAGAAACAATAGAGCATGTTATGGAAAACTACAATCAGTGAGTTGTCCAATGATTTTTTTTTTAAATGCCTAAGCGCAATTCAAACACTTTCAGGTTTAAAATTTCCAGTCAAACTCTGGCTTGAAGCAGGCTGGTCTATCCTCAAAGATGGTGATGTTAAGTTTAAAAGAGCCCTTCCTCACTAGCTTGGGGCTTTTGGGAAAGACAGTTAAACTCCCTGGCCTTCCTCATTCCAACTTACAGAAATACTGCAGGTATTAAATAAAGCAGGTATGCAGAACAAATCATATAGTGATGACCCATAACAATTACTGCAATCTATTGTAACTATCTACCCTCCACCCCGCCCCCCAAAAAAACCTACAAACTGCATGTGTCCTTTTCTAGAATAAGCAGCAGGTGCTGGGCAGTGCTCACAGTCGAGAAGCAATGAGGATTCAAGGTGCATGTGCTTGGCCAGGTGCAGAGGAGGGGGAGTAAGGATGAAAAGTGGTCTGAAATCATTTATAATTCCTAGATGTTTGTATGTGCAAGAAAGCATGCCTTGGGCAGACACTGAGGAGAGAAAAACGTTCAGGGAAATGCTCTCCTCGCTTCTGAGTGTTCCCAGCTGGCTGCAAGCCTTGCATTTACGGACTTGTCTTTAATCACTGTTGATGTCCTTGGTAAATGGCCCCAGCAGTAGACTCTTTTCCCTTCAGGATTAGCTTCCCATGGTCATAGCATCCTTTTCCATTAGCTCTTCATCTTCGAAGAAAAACAGGAAACACTTGGTCACGAGGATGATGACTTCAACAAAGGACAAGCACAGTGTGATTCCTCTGCCATTAGGAGCTAGGCAGAGGCAGGAACCTGCTTTAGAGCTGAGGCAGACAGAGAACATCTTCCTCAGGGCCCCAGCCGTGAGGACACACCTCTGTGTTCTGGGAAGAAAGCGGACAACTTCCCTCCCACTCCCTGTAAATTGATCCAGGCAACCTGGGGAAATCAGACTTTTTGTCAGTCCATTTCTAATCTGTCTTTCTAAACGATCATCAGGGGGATCTGCTGACACATGTAGTAAAACTGGCATTTCACTTCCTTCCTCCTTTATGGAAAGTTACAAAGAGTGGTAAACTGCGGGCCAGATGTTAGATACTACATCATAATTCAATGATCAGTTTTCAGAAAAATTGGAATATAATTCAATGGAGAAACAAATAAGACTTGGAGGGTCCTAGAAGACTTTGAAAAGCTTCAGATGTCATTCTAAACATCCCCTCCCCACCACGCAGGGTCAGGCCTTCTTGTTTGGACTTGAGCTAAAGAAAACTGATCTTGCAAACTGATTGGACTTGTTCGAGCCCCCTCCATTTGATTGGAGGAAGAAGGTTGCCATAGGAGGCCAGAAGCCTCCATTCGGCTAGAGAGCAAAGGGCTTGCATGTTTTCCTGCCCTACAGAGAGCGAGTGTCAATGCGCTGAACGTGCTCCCAGGCCCAACAGCTAATCAGTCCTCTGCCTCCCTCTAGCCTGACTATCCCACTAATGGTCCCTGTTAGAGTAGTTGGTGCATCCTCCTAATTCATATGCTAAACCCCTAACCCCCATGGTGGGGCCTTGAGGTGATTAGGAGATGGGGCCTTGGGGTGATTCAGTTTAGATGAAGTCCTGAGGGTGGCACCCCCATGATGAGATTGGAGTCTTTCTAAGAAGAGAAAGTGACTAGAGCTCACTCTCCCTGCCATGTAAAGACAGTGAGAAGGTGGCAGTCTGAAAACCAGGAAGAACCCATCACAAGGAAACAAATCTGCTATACCCAGATTTCAAGTTTCTAGTGCCCAGAACCATAAGAAATAAATGCCTGTCGTTTAAGCTGCCTAGTGTAAGGTATTCTGTTATGGCAGCCCAAACTGAGAATGATGGTTCCCCCTCAGATAAAACCTAAGGTCTTCAACACCCCTGAACGCCCAGGCTGAATCCTGAGCCTGCATTGAGCTGCTCAGGCCCCAGAACTGTACGAGTTACTGCCTTCTGATAACACTGCACTCAGTGAGTTAATGTGTTCATAAACACAGAAAAAACTCTTAAGAGTTCTACTTCTCTGTGTCACAGGAATAACCACCATGCTTTTTGGGGAATAGCTGGTCTGTTTTTTTCATTCTAAATCTAAACCTTAGAGCTGAATGCAGCAACATGGAGCTCAGGGCCATACTCACATCCAGAGACTCCAGGCAGTACCAGCAGAAGGCATGCTTGCAGTTTTTGCACATCATCTGTGCACACCCTTCATCGCGTTCTATGTAGACCTTGCACTTGGGGCAGCGCTTGATGGGTGCGTCGTCCTCTTCCATTTTGAAAGCAGAACTGTGGGAGAGACTCCATGAGGGCTCTATACGGAGGGATCCCGCGAGACAGTGACTATTCTGGAAGCGCTAGCTTAACTATAGGAACCGAGGTGTTAAATGAAAAAAATTAAAGAAATGGAAACTCCAGAAAAAATTAACCAAAACACTGTGAATCAGCCATTTGGGGGGGGGGGCAGGCATCAGCATATTTCTAAATTTAGATATATAGAAACAAAAGAAAACACAGCAAAAGGCTTATCACAATGGGGGTATCAGAATAATGATGTTAAGGTCAAACATGATGTCCTTATTCATATATTTTTCTACTTTTCAAAGGGTTGATAATAAATTTTATGTACCTTACTATTATGGAAAAAATATGACACACACTATTTACTTAAATAGATCCACCCGGTTCATCTTACAGAATTGTTTTCCTGAGAGTTTGGTTAGGTTTGTAGTGGTTAGTGTGAAGGGCTTTAACCTGCGGCCGTGTGCTGGCTCTTCTCCAAACTATCTCTGGAACAATTCTCTGAACCCCAGTTTTCTCATCAGTGTGAGCATAAGAGAAGATTCTGTGTGACATGAGCACAGTGCTCCAGTTTGTGTGAAGTGCCTGATATAAGGTAGCAATAATTCAATGTTTCTAATAAAAAGATAACACAAATATTTAGGTATGGCTGTGGAAGGCCATCCATCCCATGCTACTAATTTTTAAAAAGACAGATAAGGATATTCATGAAAGCACCTAGAAGAATAACTGATAAACGGTTAAGGGAAGTTATTGCCAGAAGTGGTGGCTCAGGCCTGTAATCCCAGTTCTTTGGGAGGTTGAGGTGGGAGGATTGTTTGAGCCCAGGAATTCAAGAATGGCCTGGGCAACACAGCAACATGTCAACATCTCTACAAAAAAAATAAAAAGCTAGTCAGGTGTGGTGGCATAGGCCTGTAGTCTCAGCTACTTGGGAGGCTGAGGCAGAAGGATCTCCTGAGCCTAAGAGGTGGAGGCTGCAATGAGCCATGATTGGGCCACTGTACTCCAGCCTGAGTGACAGAGTAAGACTCTGATTTAAAAAAAGAGGAAGAGAGAAGTTATCACTGATTATGGGGGTGCATTTGCTATACTGTGTGAAATTGCTGCATCAATCCAACATCACCAGGAAAAAAACAACTTCCCTTTGGAGGCAGCCTTTTCAGAATTGAATACATTTATGAGTATATATTCACTGAAGCTGAGCTAATTTTGGCATTTTGAGGGCATTCTGGCTGAAGGATCTCCCACAAACATCACAGTCAATATAAAAATTAAATGTGATTTCACTTTTTTTGTAGGAATTGTCTAATTAGCAGTGAACTTTCCTCCACTTGAGTTATATGGTCCAGCTGAACACGACTGCTGTGTCCACACGGAGAAAGTGACAGGATAAGGAATGCGGAGGGATGCGTCACACCCTCCTGGAGTCTTGAGACAAACACCCTTTGGAATCTTTCAGAGTCTTGAGGCAAGTGCCCTCTGTGCTATTTATGTATTATCTGTTAGTCTCCTTATCTGCTAAAAGCATCGATCTCTGCAGGTGTGCTGAGGATTAAAGAGTTTGCACACATTAAGTACATAAGCACAGAGGCTAGCACAGAAGTATCAGACACTCAATAAACAGTGGTTGTTTTTAATACTATTATTGAAAGATAAAAACTGTCTCTAGCTCAAATACTTCTCCAACCTAAAGCAAACTACAGACCCACCTGGCTACCCAGAATGTGATTTAGAATGAACTAGGGTTGTTGCAAGAAGCCAGCAAGATAAAATATACGCAAGTGCCTCCAAAGGAAACTGGCACAGAGTGAGCCCTGAATAAACTTTAGCCTTGGCCTCCTTCTGAGAATGGTTTTGACTTTACAAAGAGCTGGAAGTCATGAACACCAGATCCGGGGATCAAGGTTGGTTATCAGGTTAAATAACAAAGTTTTGCTTTGAAAGTCAAGTGTGACCTTAAAGTTATGAGACCAATTTTTTCATGTGAGTCACAAGCTAATTTTGAAAGAAATGTCATGAAGAGTGTACAGAGCATCTCTTGGGGAGACTTTTCAAAATGGAAAGAGTTACAATATGCAAGCTGTGGTGCACTATGCCATGCACAAAAATGGGGTCTAGACAATCATCTTCTAACATTCCTGGGTATCTGAATTACATTTAAAATCCTTACTAATAGCAACTCTTGTGAAAAACTCAAATTTATAAAGGCAGGTAGGAGTCTTCGACAGTCTGTTCACAATCTACATGCCCAAGTGTCTTAAAGGGGCAAGCAGATGATGCTAATGAGTGATGCTGATAGGGGATGGATAAAAACATGGGTAAAAGGAAAATTTAACCCTAAAGAAAACCTCTACAATGTGAAAAGTAGCTGAGTGTCTTCTCAGTTATAATGACAGCTGACAGCCTCAGTGCCCGGGAGACAAGAGAAAGAGGACGGACAGGACAAACCTCCTTTCACAGAGCGGGTTGCTGCCAAGCTCCAGCCGACTGTGAGAATGCAGGCTTAGAGAGGCTCAGGATTCAGACTTCCCAGAGAAGCCAGAAACTCCGATTTTTATGTGTAATCTTCTGATTTTTAAGTTTCCACAAAATGAGATTTGCAAATTATTATTTAAATCTTGTGGAATGATTTAAATAAGACCAGGTTGAAGAAAACTAAGACATCAGGCTTCAGACTCTGACCATGCTCAATCTCAAGTTTCGAAGCACCTAAGATTCTAATACAAGTGGAGTGATTCACGCTAGTATGTGTGTGCCTGATGTGGACCAGGATACAGTTCAGATATGCAGGCCCCGACACCAGGAGCTCAGCCTGATGGCAGAGTTTGCCACATGGACAGAAGATCTCAAACACAGCGTGGCCAGGGTTGTCATCAATAAAGACAATTTCAGTGGGAATGCAGAGGGCGGAGCCACCAACCTTGCCCCGGGAACTGGGAAGCTTGACTAAGGGATGTGAGCCAGTCCTGAAGGATGAGAAGGACTCTCTGGGGAAAAGAGGGTGGAGCAGGGTGTTCCAGGTACAGGGACAAATGTGCATCCCGAAGTAGACAAGGGGCATGTTTCAGGGACCCTGAGAGGGACGGGGGCTGGAACATGGCACAGGGTCAAGGCGAGTGGAATGGGGAGAGGGAAAACAGGGAGCTGCTGACGATGATGCCTTTGGGTGGGTGGTGGGCAGCTGATAGCTCTTCTATCAGGAATATGGCCTGGATAGGAACAGGGACAACTGTCTAGTGGAATCACATGAGACTGGGGCGTCTTAGAACAAAAAGACCTGGGTCTGATCAACCTCCTATGCTTCAACCGACTAAAATTCATGGTGCACAGAACGGTGCCGCAGCGTCTCCCTGGGCAGACAGCCTGACCATCTGGCTGAGGGGGAGGACACAGACACATTTACCATAGTCTTCCTGACAGGCTCAGCATTTCAGGGAGATGGGGGTCACCCTGGCCTCAGGCAGCCAAGAACCTGTTTTTGCAGATACTCCTGGTTTTTATGACCCCTACTCTCCTTCCTGTTCCTGCATCCCCACTCTGCATTTCCTTCAACAGGGTGGGCTTTTGGAAAAACTTCAGGTACCACAGGACATAAAACCCTTAAGAGTAACAATCTGTGCATGCGTTTTTCATTCCAGGCAGGCAGCATAGGCTTTGGTTATTACACCTTTTCATTTCCAGGGGCGTGCAAGGTACCTGGGGTGTAGTCACTTCTCAAAAGTAAACAAATAACTACACACTTGAATGAGACTCGAGAGGTAGAGTGTGTGTTGATGGCAGCCATGTCCAGCCTGCAATGACACTTTTAGGAAGAAAGCAACATCCTTCTCTGAACCCACAGCCCATGCCCTTGGCGGAAGCTTGTGCACAGAGGTACCTGGTCTCCCCGGGGAGGAAGGTGATTGGCATGGATTCTGAGCAGCCCTGGCCAGGGTGCCAGCTGGCTTTGCAGGTGGAGCAGAATTCCATGTGGCAGGCTTTGCACTGCACCGGCTGGGGGGGCTGCAGCCCCACCTCCTGGAGCTGACACACGGCCTGGCAGGTGGACGCCGGGCACCACGTCCGACAGGGATCGAAGAGCACCTCTGGCACAGGGAGACAAAATGAGCAAATCAAACGCGGAAGGCCAGAGGGTCTTGTGGGCTTCTGAGGGGAGGAGTCCCACCACCAGTGAACGCAGAGGAGCCACCTCTGTGCCACATCAGTATTCACCAGCCCTGCCTGATGTGCAACCTGCTCCTCCAGCCCCTCCCAGCTTTTCACCCTGCTCTTAGGGGCAGCAGTAGACCTCCAGATACCTCAGGCATCCTTCAGGGATGCTTCTCCTGCCCCCCGAATGCCCTTGGCTCTCTGGGATGCCCCTGCTGGCCCCCAAGGTCCAGCTCGCAAGCTTGGAAGTGTGGCGTCCTCACCCATCCATGGTTTCTCTGAGTACCACAAACCATACTTGCTCGTCTGCCTCCCCTAGGAGACAGCATTCTGAAGTCAGGCTTGAGCCTTCATCTTGTCTCCTCACACCCAGTCCCATGCTCAGCACACACTGGGCACTTGGAAAAGGTTTGTTAGAGGATGGAAAAACGGAGGGAAGGAAGATGGACAAATTATTCTTCTGATCAAACGGTTTATCTCCCTAAGACTTCATCCCCTCCAAAATTTAAGTCTAAGTCGTGAGCTAACTAATGAGCAAAAAAGCTCAGGCTTATCCTCTGAATCAGAGTCCAAGTTACTAAGAAACCCAGTTTAATGGAATTAGCCAGGAAGTTTATTTTTAAAAATAGGATACCTCGACACTCCCATTCTTTCACATCCTTGTCCAAGAATTGCCTTTCTTTAAATAATCAGTCCTGAGTTGCCCTTTGTCATGAGCCTGATTATTCATTTCATGTTTCCTCATCCAGCATGACACTGAATTCTCAATGAGGGGACAGTGGGGGGAAACCACATGGAACGCCAAGACTCTGCCAACACACTGTTGGAAGCCAACAGAGTACAGGGCTATTTCCAAAGGCCTTCCAGTAGGCCACTGGTTTCAAGAGTCTCAACAGGGCTCTTATTGGGAAGTAATCGAGACAACTGAGTTTTTCTGAGGAAATCTGGAAGGCCATGGCAAGCCCTTGCAAACTTCTGGGTGCTGGGACTGGCAGCCAGGCAGATTCCACTCACCCATATCACACACACAGTTCAAACTTGGATACACAACTGGCTGGAGCTGTGCGTGGATCCAGACCTCACCTTCACATGTGGCCGTGGGGCAGGCAGCAAGTTTCCTACAAATCACTGGCTGGGGTGTCCTAATTGTACACATGCACACATACGTTTATGCCCTTGTGTGTTTACCACATTCCCCCAAATAAATGGGGAAGCCACACTCAGTCTTCTAGGAACTAGCTTGTGTGAGGCATAACCTTGAAAACGAAAATCTAGTCATCCAGTCCCAGAGCTGGCAACTTCCCTCTGAAGGGCCAGACAGTGAGTATCTAAGGATTTGAGGGTCACATGGTTTCTGGGCTTCTCTTGCAACTACTCAGCTTTGCTGTTGTGACACAAAAGCAGACTTAGTGGACAGTAGTGAACATTCTGGTAAAACTTCAATTACAACAGCAGGCCATGGGCTGGGGCTGAATTTGGCCCAGTGGTCACAGCTGGCTGACTCCTATTCTCATCTAAATACCTTCAGTCTTTTTTTTTTTAAAGGTGAATTAACCAATGATGCAAAACTATCAAACTGTTAGGTCTGGAAAAAGATTAAGAAGAATTTGATAATAAAAAGAAAAGCTCAGAAACATGTGTGCCTCTTTAATCTTCATTATAATAATGTGAAGTCTTCAAGATGCTCCTGATACTGTGTGAATGAGTACAATTAGCTCTGGTGTTACTTGCTGATAGTGTTTCAGTGTATGCTCTTCTACAAATGTTCCTGGCTGTCAGATATGACAAGGTGATTTTGTGAGAAAACACTGTTGTTGCCTGTGAGTCACGTGTGTGAGAGCAAATGCTGGGGGGACACACCAAAGTGAGGAGAGTGGGGTCCATGTGCCAGCCTGGGGCACTGAGGGATCTTTTTAGCAGTGTAGGGAGAAGACCCCAAAGGCAGCTCACCTTGGCTGCTCAGCTCAGGAATCCGAAGCTGCTCAGGTTGCCTGAGTCCTCTCCCAACCCGTCCCATCCCTGATTCAGCCCCTGTCAGTTTGTCTACATAGCTCCCTGCCTCCTGTCTATGCGTGCTGTGGTCTGAGCCCCGCTTTGTCCTGACCAGATACGAGGTTCTGTATGTGCACAGCTGTGATGCAGGCTCTGCAGGGCACAGACACTCAATGTGCTAAACAATACACCATGCAGGCAGAGAAATCCTTGGCCTGCTCTTTGCTTTCTTTCCAGTACGGCTCTGGCGTTAGAGCCCAGATGTGCAGTGCTGCCTGCTGTGAACCTTTCCAGTCCCAATCCTGTTCCCAACCCTCCTTTTGCTCAGAGAAGCCTCTGACTTCCAGAAGGAGTAGACATCACAAAGCTATGCTCATGTCCCTTCATGCATGTGACTGACATGCGCCAACTCTCATCCCTCCAGGCATAAGAGTAGGAGATACTGTTATCCTCCCCTCATCATGAAAGGCCCCATTATAGCACAGAGTGGAGAGCAGGGGACCTAGATAAGGTTTCCATGGGAACAAATTTTATTACTTTTGTCCTCACAGACCTGTGACATGACACTGCCTGTCCGCATGTGGAAATATTCCTTATCGAAAAGGTCAAGGACAAATAATCTGTTCACTCTTCTGACAGCAAACAGGCTTTCTGCACCGCCAGGGCACATCAAACCCTGTGAACACAGCCCTAGGTTTTGGGAGTAGACGTCTATCAACATCCTCATCCTCCTTTCCCACGGCTGAATTCTGCCAGCTGTGTGCACAGACAGGACACAGTTGAGGAGAAAGTTCACAGGAGTCAGTGTCAGAGTTTCTATTTATCTGAATGAAATGCTATTACATATATATCTAATAATAATACACATTATAAATAATATATAGTACATTGTAATGTATCTACTATATGTTATTTTGTGTGTGTGTGTGTGTATGTGTGTATGTGCATGCGTGTGTATGTGAGATGTTTTCAAACAAAGCAAACTATACCTTTTCAGGCACGCTAGGAAAAAAAACTCATCTTGCATCCAACCTTCCAAAGATATGTTCATTATATGTTCATAAAGCAGGTCTCAAATAGATCTTTACTGATATAAGTCCAAGACTTTTTTTAAAAGGGTGATTTTCCTTTTAAAAATAGACATTTCCTTTCAGAAACATGCAGTCAAGGACAATGTGCCCAGCTGCCTTCACACCCTTGCTGTTATTGCATTGCCCAGGCTGGCTGGTGCCCTGGCACGGGGCTGGGATGGCAAGTTTGATCCTGCTGGGATGGTGGGTTTGACCTGGTGTGAGCCAGCATCATTTTTAGGAGGAGTCACTGATTACTGGCGGATCGCCTATGCCTATTAAAAAAAAAATTATCTGAGCTTTATTTGCTTTTAAAAACCAATACCTGTCATCCCAGCACTTTGGGAGGCCAAGGTGAGCGGACTGCCTTAGCCTGTGGGTTTGAGACTTGCCAAGGCAAGACCTCATCTCTACAATAAATCAAAAATTAGCCAGGCATGGCAGTGTGTGCCTGTAGTTCTGGTTATTTGGAAGGCTGAGGCCTAAGGATCACCAGAGCCCAGCAGGGCGAAGCTGTGGTGGCTGGGAGTATGTCACTGCACTCCAGTCTGGGTGACAGAGTGAGACTCCAACTCAAAAAAAAAAAAAAAAAAAAAATCAACACAAGATTTGACTTCAGCATTCACTTGGCCAGGGACTCTGCTGTCAGTAGTATGAAGAAACGAAGAAGCCATGGTCCCTGTGTCTGGGATGGCTGAGCTTCCAGACAGGTGGTCATGTACATGAACACCACCACATAGTACAAATGGGTTTCAGGAGGAGCACACGGTGAGAATGGCCCATGCTACCTCTCTCAAGAGCCTGGATCCACCCAGACTGAAGTGTGCCCACTGAAGAAGACGAGGTGCTCAGAAAGAAAAAGAAGGTCCCGGGCCCCCTTGCCTGGCTTCCTGCTTGCCAAAGGCTCCAGCTGGAGAAGGGGAGAAATTTATATTAAAATCAAGGCTGTTATATCAGAGGAGACATTTGAAGACTAAATGGAGGCAGTACATATATTCTGAACTAACCACAGGACTTTTTGGTAACTAAATGATTTCAGAAAAATCACTGAACTGTCTGAGTTTTCTTCCAGGGCATCTTCCATTGACTAGATTTTAGAGGCATGAAGCGAGTCAAAATTTGCTTTCTGATCTCGTCTCCAAGCTTGTTCAAGGCATTGGCTATAATCCACAGCTATATTTTAGCTCTGACAATCAAACATTTCATCTAGATAGGTCTTTTGTTGTATTAAGTCTGAATCCCCCTTTTTTTTTTTTTTAACTTTTAACATAATGTTAGTAAAATGTTTTAAAGTGATAGGTTTGAGAGTTTTTTTTTTTTTAACCTAAGCCAAGTTCACTTCATGTTTATGCAAAAGTTAAGAAAAGAAAAAAGCTTTTTTGACACAGCCAAAGTACTAGGGAAATAACTATTAAAATTATTAGGTAGAAAAATTTACCTAGTTGCATTTTAAAATTAAAGTCAGTGTCACAGAAAGCTCATATTCTTGTAACCTAAACAACAGTCAGTTTCTGTCAAGATTCTTCTGGAAAATATTTTCAGAAAAGCTTGAAAGTCTCAGAAAACTAAATTAATGAATTTATTGCTGCACATACTAACTTTTGCACCAAATGGCATTATACTTGTATCAAAGCTATAAATTGCTCCAAAGCAAATGATACATGCCACTTAGATAAGTTCTTGAAAACAAATTTCAATGTCCTGTGTGTTTTTTTAAGTTGGCTACATTGTTGTTATTGGTTTTTTTTGTGAGGGTCTCGCTATATTGCCCAGACTAGACTTGAACTCCTGGGCTTAAGCAATCTTTCCAACTCAGCCCCTCAATAGCTGAGACAACCAGCACATGCTACCACACTGGCTATCTTTAGCATTTCTTTTAAACATTAAAAAAAAAATAACTCTCTGCATTCAGCCACAGTAGGAGTCTCTGGATGTTTTCCTTTGGTCTATTCTGCCTTCCATTCCCAGCTGACAGTGTTTTCACATGAACCCGTCACCCAGGCTTGTATCTCAGTGGCAAACTCCTAACACAAGCAAGAACTTGAGTGCCAGTGCACGAGAAGGGAGAACAGACTTCAGTGATCACAAACTAAGCTGCAAATGTGATAATTCGCATGCAGTGTCCTCACAATGGCATTCTACACATCTGTTACTCTGCTCTTTTGCAGATGAGCTGGAGGCCCAGAATACATGTAAAAACAAGGCCAAATAGAGCCCTCAGATTCCTTACGGTATCATTTTGTGATCCGGGGTACTTCAGAGAGCAAAGATGAAGACCTCTCCTGAATATTCAACATGTTGTAATCTTTAAATATGATCCCCAAAATAATGCTAACACATTTTAGCATCTTTGCACACACACTGGCTGATTCACTCCATACTCGTCTCCCGAGGGACCCTGAGGTCTGCTTCAGGTAAGGAGGGCGGCGCAGGGCCTAGCAGGAAAGGTCATGGCTAAGGGACAGGAGATTTGTTCCCCAACCACTCACAGGACAAGTCAGTTAGCCTCTCTGGAATATGAGCATAATATAGATAATGACAAATGTGCTTGCAGGGTTGTTGTGATATTCACTGGGATAAAGGACTCGATCATTCACTCAGCACCTACTCTCTAGGCCTGGACCATGCGGTGAGTCGTATACATAGGACACATACACTCTGTTGTTAGGATGGTGTTTGTTGCAATTTCTATCTTGCTTAGCCTCAGGTCCTCCCTCCAACCTTTGCATCTTTTCAACTTTGGACCAGTTTAAGAGTGTAGCCTTCAAACCGTTAGACTTTAAGTTGGCTGAAGAACAATACCTCATCAGCATCATCATCTTTAAGCCACCCTCAGAAGCTTCAATCCCTGTAAACCAATTGTGTTAAATGAATTCTTCCTGCTACCAAACAGATCACCAGTTAATGTCTTCAAACTGTGAGCTGTTCAGAGAATTCAAAAAGTCTGTTGAATTTCAGTTCAATTTACGTCAACTTTTTCACTCCTATCAAATGATGTACAATCATATCTACCAAAAGAACTTCTCTAAAAGTTATCCACATTCTGTTATAGGAATCATAACTGGTGAATATACTGGGGCACCTACCTCTTTCAAATTGTAGCTTTTTATATCTTTGCATAATTTCAGCCGCAACCATGCACTCAATCTAAAGGAAAAAAATAAAATAAAATTAAGAAGTATAACAAGCTGGGACCAGAATATAAATCAATGTAAACCCAAACAGGACCACATTATCCTGACAAGCTAAGCAATGCATTGCCAGTACACATCAAAACAAACCCGATTTGTTCACTTGCACTTGCCTCATTCTCCTGTAGGTGGCCCTGTTTAGGGCAGGCAGCATCTGGGCAGCTAATTGCAGTTTCTAATCCTTCTTTGATCAAGAGCTCAACATACTGTTTCAGGCACTGAAAGAAAAACATAAAAATGTTCATAAACATCTTTACTTAATGCCAAAGAAACTGTGATGCACTAAAAAAATGGCTAACCGTATCGTTCCATTACAGCTGTATACTTTCACTGTGTAGCCCATAGCAACCACCAAATTTGAGGTTTAGAGGTTTTATTCATTCAACAAATATTTGTGGGATAACTATTCTGTGCCAGGGACTATATGCCAGTTCACAAAGCTAGCGCTGTGGGTTAGGTCCCTGCACACAACTTTAGCAAACACAAAAGCCAAGAACTCTAACAGCAAGAAGACAGTAAGAAAGGCTGGAAAGTAATATTTCTCAACTGCATTTAAGATGTTGGGCACTGTACTAAACTTCTTATCCCTCATTGGCTCATTAATCCTAAAAATTCTTTAAAAAAAGGTATGACTTCCATTTTTCAGATGTGAAAACTGAGGCACCAAAAAAGGAACCTGCCAGCTACCCAGATAGCAAAACAGAGCCTAGATTCAAACCCAAGCTTACTCAGCCAAAATGCCTATGCTCTCCCTGCTGAGAACACCTGTGTATCTGGCATTCCTCAGCTGTGATGCCTCACTTACTTGTCACCAACCTTGCCTACCTGGGAGTGTGCTTAAAATCTGCAGTGAGTCAAAAAAAGATCAAGTGAAAGGCACAAAGTAGAGCTAATATAAAAGATTTTGCAGCACTTACTCTTGCTTTACAAAGTCTATTAGTCTTAGAAATCTAGTGTTTCCCTGAAAAGTATGCTACTAACAACAATGAGAAGAAAAGATATGGCCTTCCCCAGGTAGGCTCACTACCAAGAGACTAGAGACAAACTTTGAAGAGCTTATGTAAGAACTCAAAAAGCATTGGTAGAAAAAATGATGTAAAATCCCTCAAAAGCATCTCCAAATCAACTCTAATCATGGCCACAGTATAATATTTCAGGTGCATAATAGCAACACTACTATAATATTATAATAACAGTATTAAAATATAATAGCAATTCATCAAGAAAAGCTCATGAACTATGTTTGCTCAGCTGCTACCTCCCCCCACAAATGTATAATCCATATTATTACAAGAATGCACAGTTATCATAATGAATGGACCTAAATTAAAATCCAACTGCAGTTCCTACTATTTCTATGTTTAGAACAAGTCTATTAATCTCTTTCTACCATCTTCAGTTTCCTGATTGGTAATTTAGGGTGATTCAATCTACCTTACAGTGAGGTTATAGGAATTGTACACAAAATAAAGAGTTTAGAAGAATACACTGAAAGGAGTATGTGCTTGATACATAAAGAATAATTTGATCTAAATGAGTAATTCTCCCCATCCTAGCAAACCAGAATATTTCATTCATTAAAGACTCTAGATAGAAATTTCTTTTAAAAAATAGAAATTGAGGTAATTCTCAAAAAGAGCAATTTTCCCAAGCTTTTCACAAGACTTATAACTTCAAGTGCAAATTACAATGTTGGCAGCTCCAGGCTAAGCCCTACGTTGTCCTAGTCTGTATTCTTTTGATCTGCTTGGGCGATGATGATTTTCATTAAACTTGAACTTAGATTATTCACATATACGTCTACATTTTGCCAACCCACAGTTTGTGACAAGAGCTCTCTGAGTAGTCAGTATGAATGAGCCCAGTCTTGGAGTTCTCTTTAAGACACAAGAGGACAGAGTTTTCAGAGGTAAATTCATGAAAACCAAAGCAATGACCTATTCCCAGAAGGAAGGAGGGACAGAGAAAAAGAAAGGATCACACCCAGTCTCCATCAGGGCTGCAGCCTGGCTTGGGGTAACATCAGATGATTTGCTATGGGGCAATGCTGTGCTTTAGTAGAGTGGTAAAATGTTGCAACAATGGCCTGTTTACAGTTGGCAGCTAAGTGGAATGTCCTGTTTATGGCGGGGTGCAACATGAGGAGAGAGAAAGACCATAGGATTTGGAGTCAGACAGACTCAAGCAATACTTGTCCATCTAGACAGAGTTAGGACCACAGCTCCTTCAAAAATAAAAGAGAGATGCCCATCTTGCTGGGTTTTTGTAACAGTAAGAAATAGAGTATACAAAGTAACTAGCACAATTCCTGGTATACAGCACCAGTTAAGTACATAGTGGCTGATGTTACCTCTTGTTTGTCTATCTGTCTGATATCTCTCTTACAGTTATAGATACTGGGAAAACAAAACAAAAAAACCCCAAAACCAAAGCAACAAGATAATTGTTTTACTTTCTATAATTAAGTTTGTTTAAATTAATTCTTTGGAGAATACTAGAATGCCTTAAACCAATACAACGCTGAAAACGCTCACAATATTGTGCAGAGCAGTATATAATGATAGAACATTATTCTTCCTAAGAGGCAAAATACAACAATCAAAACTGGTGTGACATGTACACCCTGGGGAAGTCTCCACATGTTACTGCTCAAGAGCCTGCATATGGTAACAAGCAGTGAGTCATGTCTGGCTGAAAGCTACCCAAGAGCAGACATTCTATGTCATCAGAATACATCTATCTGCGCAATTTGCAAAATGATTATGTTCTGGGAATATCAATGTGTTTACTAAATAAAGAAAGATGAAGATCCAAGTGGATGACCTTGCATCCATCAAAACAAGCCCAGACTTCTTCCAGATGTAAAGTGGGTCATGACTAACAAGCTATGTTTTTCAATCTAATAGCAAAAAGATGTCTTGAAATGAGCGGGGAAAAAAAGGTAAACAGAAGAACTGTAAAATACGGTCTAAAAGCAGATACTGTTATATTTACCTACTATCAGATTAATTATAGATAAAAGTAATCAAGTACCTTCTAAGTACCAGACTCTATGTCAATCACCTTACCTATGCTAGCCCAGTGAACACTGTGGCTACAAGAATTGGGTAAGATATTATCTCTCCCATTTACATGAGAAAACCAAGGCTGGGAAGTTAAGAACTGTCAAACTAGAGGCACTAGGATTCAAACCCTTGTGTGTCTGATTCCAAAGTGGGTAGAATCTTTTTGCTTGCTTTTTAATTTTTTGCTTACTTTCTCCCCAATTGAGAACCTTTAGATGAACACATTTAGAGATCGCATGTACTGTATGAGGGCTAAAGTCAATACAGTAGTACCATATCAGAGAGTTTAGTTAAATAAGATTTTAGCTGTTCTTGGCACCTAAATAGTAACTATGTGAAATGATGGATATGTTAATTTACTTCACTATAATAACCATCTTACTATCTATATGTATCCTATAACATCATGTTGTAAACATCAGATATATGCAATAAAATTTATTTTTTAAAATAACTCTTTCATAAGCAGTTATTTATTATTTTCTTCTACCTTATAAACTCTTGTGTAGAAAAAAGAATCCCGTGTACTTTAAACTAGCAAAGTCTGAGTCAACCCAGAGAACATCTTTACATGTTCATCATGCTGCCAGTGCAAAGATGACTCAAGACATCACGACCCTCACAGCCCCGGGTGGGGAAAAGATGTGTGCTCAGGTAATTATTATCATACAGTATGCTCAGTGCTCTAATGAGACCACCCCCTTGGGTGGTAGGAGGATCTAACAGGCCACTGTGGGGTAGAGAGGAGGGGTCCCACCTAGGTAGGGTCACGGGAAGGCTTCTTGGAGATGAAAAGTTGGCGAGAGAAACAAAAGCATTCCAAGGAAAAAGAAGGCATCAGCCGCACAAAGGCAAGAAGGGGGGCAAGAGCCACGGAATGTTCCAGGCATTTAATTTTCCACTTTGGCTTCCAACTCTTTGAAACCTGATGAGGAGACAACACTGCTGATTTGCTAATACACCTCCAGTGCGTCAGAAGTTTCCTGCCAAATAGAGTGGTCCACAGAGACATAACTGCCTCGCCTAAAACTACTGCAAGTCTGAATTTTGCTGGTTTTCTTTCTACACAAAGGCTTGTTGGCTACTGATGACTCTCAAAGCAGGAGAAACTGTGCTCAAATGTGCTCACCAGGAATCCACAATTTACAAAAGATTATATGCAGGCAGATCCCAATTAAAGCAGTGGGACCCCACGGACAGTGTTAAAGGCATAAGGACACTGGAATCAGAGAGCTGGCTTTGACTCCTAGTTCACCCACTTGCCAGACATGTGTTTTTAGCAAGGGTATACATCTCACAGAGCCTCGGTTCCCAATCCTGTGGGATAAGCTTGGCAGATAGAAAAAGAACCACTCCACAGTTCCACTTCCCAGGACAGTGGTACTCCAGAATATTGCTGCCGTACTCCCCAAGAGTTTTTCTTAGCCTTTCTAAAGTCATCAACGATCAATGACCTGTTTATGTTTCTCCTCTATTAGATGAGAGTTCTTTGAAAGCAAGGACTGTTAATTATTTATCTTCCTATTCCTTGCACCTAACAGAGTGCTGCTAAATAGGAAGTGATGAATCAGTGCTGTGCCGATAGAAAGATGGTGAGTGGATGGACATACAGATAAATGAAATATGCACAGAATAACCAGACACCTGGTTACAGACATTCCTTCGCACTCCAGAAGAAGAGCTGGAGCCCTGAGGCAGAGATGTGTTAACTACACACTGCTACTGCAGGACAACTGAACTGGTGATCTGGGTCCTCTGCAGGCTGGAAGGCCACAGCGCTGTCATCAAAGAAGCTATACGAAGGACCCCAGCACAGCCTTATGAGGACAGCCTCCTGGAGATACTCCAAAGCTCTCTCACTGGGTGGCTTTGGGAACCTGGAGCAAACCACCAGGAAAACTCCACAGGGTATGTTCTGGCAAAGACCACTGCCTCAGGAAAGTGGGAATGTGACTTCATGCACATATCAGAAAGTTCAACATATGAAGTTTGCTTCTATCAAATTATTGGAATTAAAAAAAAACAAAACAGACTTTACATCTTAAAAAAAAAAAGCTCTCATCTACGTGTACTCTCTGCACCTGTCAAACCATGAGAGCCACAGTCTCCTAAACAAACAAAACCTGCGGTCTCTGCTACAGCTTTGCTAAAGA